TGCTTTTAAGCTCTTGGTTGTTGCTTCTTGACTTTGAAACCTTGATTCACTAATAGCAATGAATTTTTTTTAACATGTCCTCTAAATCTGATTTGTTTTCAAGTAGTTGCTAAAATCCTAGAGGTTGCTTTACCACATTTTGATTGTTACTCCATGGAAAATTTGGATGATTTTTTCAACTACGATTGTAAGTGTTAAAGTAGGGATTGTTTGTTGCCTGTTAAAATTACCAACAAAGTTAGCATTCTCATGATATTGAGTAAAGGAATTACTTACTTGACATTCAATACTTGCATATTCTCCTTCACACCAGTCACAAGTGACATTTTAGATATGCATAGTAGAAACATTCAATTTATCGAACTTCTTATGGAGAGCATCCACTTGAGTAGGTAGGATTTTGAGAGTGTCAACTTCATGTATTTCAGCATTTCTTTTGATGGGTGTTCTTTCAGAATTCCATTGATAGTTATTTGAGGCCATCTCCTCTATTAGCCTATAAGCTTCCTCAAGAATTTTACTCATTAATAATCTACTCATTAATAATCCACCTGCAACTGCATCAATCATGATACAAGTATTTGGAAATAAACCATTGTAAAAAGTTTGTACCTATAACCATATAGGTAGACCATGATGTGGACACTTCCTAAGTAGCTTTTTGTATTTCTCACATGCCTCATACAACAGTCCATATCAAACTGCATAAAAGTAGTAATATTGTTATGCATCTTGGCAATTTTAAAAGGAGGAAAGTACTTACCAAGAAATTTGCTTGTCATTTCTTCCCAAATAGTAATTGAGTCCAAAAGTAAAGAGTAAAACAAATTCTTTACTATATCCCTCAAAGAGAAGAGAAAAGTCTCAATCCTTTTGCATCTTTTGAAACTCTATTATACTTAAATGTGTCACAAATTTCTAAAAATCTAGTGAGATGTTTATTTGGATTTTCATTCGGCAATCTACCAAACTGAACTAATTGTTGAATCATCTGAATATACGTTGACTTGATTTCAAAGTTGTTAGCTTGTATTGCTGGTTTTCTTATACACGAGGCCACACATCCATTGAAAGTGATCCATACTCTCTCAAGGTTCTTGCAACATCTTCTTTTGCCATTTTGTGTAGTTGCTTGACAACTAAAGCTTCCTTCCTTTTGTTTAAAAAGTAAAGTTTTCTGTTTTCAGAACGAGTCATGCACTAACTTGCCCACTTGAAAAAAATATTAAAAAATTCAAATTAAAATTAGAATTAATTTGCTTTGATATTAATTAGAATCAATACAGTCCCTGGCAACGGTGCTAAAAACTTGATGAGCTAATTCCACTCCAACAAGTGTACTAGTCAATTCAAATTATATAATAATGAAAATAAAATATCGTCTCACAGATACTGTAGACTAATCAAGTACCAAAATTAACTAATTCTAATTTTATTTGAACAATTGAAATTAAATGATTTGAATAAACTAAACAACTAAACTAATTAAAGAAAAACTAAATTGATTTAAGTAATACCAAGAGTTAAAATTCTAAGGCATTCAATTTCACCATAATCAACTAATATATAATTTAGATTAATGTACTTTCAAGATGTTTATTATTTATGTGACAACAGAATTTCCTATCATATTTGATATATTTTCTTAAATTATACCAAACATACTTTCACCTATTAACCCACTATATCTCTATGTGAATTTAAATAGATAAAAATGCATTATATTCTGTAAAATTCTTTAGTTTACATAGAAAATTACGTCCACTTATCATTAATGCTGCACGAATCACGTTGGTCCATCTTTGGTTTTCGTTCAATTCATGGTATATATTACTCAAAGCTTTTGCATAAAACCGCCTCTCGATCTCAATTATGCTCTTCAAATTAGTTTTAATGGTGGTCAATCATTAAAAAGTATTACAAAAAATATTATATACTGTACATAAAATAATAAATCTTGAAAATATAAAAATCATAAAATTATATATTAAATTAATCATGCTACATCGTAGCCCTTAAATGGCTAATCAGTTCATAATTAAAGAAAAGAAAGCATTACGAATAATAATATATACTATATATAAAATAATAAACATTAAAAGTATAAAAATCATAAAATTATATATTAAATTAATCATGCTACATTGTAGCCTTAAATGACTAAATCAGTTCATAATTAAAGAAAAGAAAATTAACAATCTTATAATGAATTTAAGAGTATCTAATATTATAAAATAAAATTCAAAAACAAGCAAAACTAGTTTGGTGACATAAGATCTTAGTCTTGAACTTCTTTTGTTGTTGAATTCCCCTTAGCCCTAAATCTAATTTTTGAATGGATATTTATAGAGCTTAAGAAACCATATTAAAAAATAAGTACGGCTTGGAATAGAATAAAAAACTTGAATTTTGGATGTTGAACGTATGGTGCTGACACTGTAAATTACGTGTCGATACTACACCTGTGTCAGGCTCTTTCCCTTTTGCAATTTCTTTAATAGTAAAATAGTACATCTGGTCCTTCAAATTTCACACAATCAGCATTTTGATCCTGAAACTTAAGATTCATTTATGTAGATCCCATAGTGGTGTCTTTCTTCTTGCAATTCAGTCTCTCAACATTTAGAAAATATTCAATTAATCCCAAAACTCCTATTATTATGCATTTAAGTCTTTTTCTACATAAAAAGTGAAAACAATGTAAAATCTATTAAAAATCACATATTTTCCATGTAAATAGTAATAAAACTAAGGTTAATATAATGGATTAAAGCATATAAAATGCTTGTTATCACTGATGTACCAGAAAAAATATATTATAATAAAGATAATCCATTCTATTTAGGATAAAATTAAAAAGTTTATAAAAAATTATTTTTTTATTGATCCCTCTAAAATGTGAACTTTAACAAGCTTGGGCAAAATAAATTGTTATCTTTTTTCTTTTTCTTTTTTTTTGATGAATCAAAAAGCTTTATTAATAAAGAGAGTAGAAGGGGTACTTACACATACATTACATCAAAAGTTCAACAAGAAATTAAAAGTCTATTGCAAAATGGAGTGGGAATTGACACCAGTCCACAAAACTAAACTTGGCATAGGTAGAATTTCCTTTGATCCAACAGAAAGTTTTTCATTGAATTAAGTCAATCAATATGTTTTCATTCCAAGGCTATTTTTCAAAAATAATACCATTTTTGCTTACCCAAATGGACCAAGCAACCGTTGAGATTGTGAGGTTCCAACTACTTCTTTCTTTCTTGGGGACCTGCAACGAACTAAGTTGGTGGAGCATGGCAAAGGCATTATCCAAGGGAACAAAAGGAAACCCCACCAGTGTCATATTTTGCTCCATAGTTTTTGAGATTGTCCACATTTGGCAAAGATGTAATTTGCGTCCTCTAGATGATCACCACAAAACACATAGTTTGGATTATTTGTTAAATTTACTCCTCGGAGAAGCAAGCTGTCTTTAGTTGGAAGGCGGTTTAGGAAGAGGCACCAAATCATGAAACTAACTTTAAAGGGCACCAATGAGTTCCAAATCAGACTACAAACACTACCTTCAAGACAAGTTGTGGGATTATTGAGAATTTGGTAGGCTGATTTTGCTGAGTATCCTAATGAGCAACGTATCCAATTGAAGTTATCTGGCTTGGTGTCATGGATGTCTACAAGCTTTAGAGTGTCTCCTAGTCTCTTGTATTCATCCAATTCTCTCCCAAATGGTTCACAACGCCAATTGAAATGCCATCCCTGACCTTTAGATGGTTTAAGTTCAACAACTAACATTTCTTTATCAAGGGAAATGTTGTATAAGCATGGAAATTTAAATTTGAAGAAGGAGGTGCCCAACTACACATCAAACCAAAAGTTAGTTTTTGCCCTATCACTGATATGTTTGGGAAATCCATCTATGAAGCATGTTTTTGCTCTTTCATGTTCCTTGCTAATAAAAAGAATATCTCTCTAAAGAGTAGATATTTTGGGGGTTCTACAGCTGGTGATAGAAGTATTATAATTTCCCTCATAATATTTGCAGACAACTATATTCTTCCAAAGTTTATGATTCTCATTTACATCATGAAATTTGCTCCACCATTTACCTAAGATAGCAGTGTTTCTAATTGCTAAATTAGGGATTCCAAGGCCACCCATAGATTTTGCAAGGCAAACTTTTTCCCAATTAACCCAAGCTATTTTCTTGGAATCAATTAAGCCTCCCCATAGAAATTTTTTTTGGATTTTAATAAGCTCATTAAGAATGCCTTTAGGGACTCTAAACATTGAAAAATAAAAGAGAAGGAGAGCCAAGAGTACCGACATGAGAAGCATGAGGTGCCCTCCAGATGATAAGAGTTTGCCCTTCCAAGATGCCAGTTTTGACTGGAACTTTTCTACCACTGATTTCTTGAAGCTAATGCGATGTGGGTTGCCACTGACCGAAAGCCCAAGGTAAATGAAAGGCAAGCTTCTGTATTTGCAATTAAGAGTTTAAGCTGCCATGTCAATCCACTTATTGTCCACATTGACCCCATAAAGAATGCTCTTGCTGAAATTTATTTTGAGCCTTGACATGATTTCAAACCATCTCATAATAAACTTTATTGCCCTGATAGAACTCACTGAAGCCTCGTTGAGTAGGGTAATGTCATCGGCAAACTGAAGGTGGAAAATCGGTGCATTAGTGCTAATAGTCACCCCTTTAAAGAGGTTTTTTCTTTCTGCTTCAGCTAGTAAAGCATGTAGGCCTTCAGCGGCGATTATAAACAAATAGGGTGAGAGGGGATCGCCTTGTCTTAGCTCCTTTTCATACTAAATTGTAATCTTAACTACTATACTTACATTTTTTTAGCAATATAGCATGTTATCTTAATTTTACATGGCATATTAGAATATAGTATTACATGACACATTAGAATATAGTATTTGAATTCAGTTAAGAAAATAATTGGTACATCTTACAAAATTATACACTGACAGTCTCCGTTACTTATGTCATTAAAACTAGTGGTTTTTATTACTTATGCCGTTAAAATTGATAATTTCCGTTACACACTAATAATTTTCATCAATGTGTAATGAAATGTGTAATTATATAAGATATATGTAACATTGTCCCTTAAAGTTATCCTATGTGCGAGCGACAGTATCTTTACCGTGACGTGAGCGCGAGAAAATTTTCAATCAGTTATGTGTGGAGGAGCTTGACTAATTCATGATTCTGACCCATAAAAATCTTGATATCCGTTACTTTGTCATAATCAACTTCAATTTTAATAAACTTCCCCGCCACCCCCAACTTCAATTTTAATAATATTGTCCTTAATTTGGTGCTTAACCACTTCGCATGTGATTCAATAATGATAATTTCACAATAGAGCTGATGCGGCTCCGTCAATCCAACCAATAATGATAGTTTGTTGGGAAAAAAAATGATGGCAGTTTTTCTGTAACATTAGACAGTTTTTTTTTTTTTTCTTTTTTTAGTTTCGCCTACAAGAAAATAAAATGTCTGAAAATATTATCTGCATCTACGATCACTTTTTGTTGTTATTACTATTGTTCTGGCACAGACAAGGGCTGTGGAAGGAGAGTACTTGATCGGAGTAGGAAGCTATGACATGACAGGGCCGGCGGCCGGGGTGAACATGATGGGCTACGCCAACATGGATCAGATATCGGCCGGCATCCATTTCCGGTTGAGAGTTAGAAATTTCATCGTGGCTGAGAGTTCTCGAGGTCCCAGGTTTGCCTTCATCAATCTTGAGGCAAGAATGGCTTCACAGCTAGTCACCATTAACGTTCTAAAAAGACTCATGTTAAGGTATCATAAAGAAAACACACCTGGTCTCACAGCCTAATGACCATAAATCAATTTGTAAGGTACATCCCTCAGTCAGAAAGTTAAGGTTCAATTCTCTTTTTTTTATATTTGTAATCCTATTCAAAAAATATATATATACTATAAAGAAAACACGAGAAGTTAATAATTTAAAGTCTGTTGGACACAGTTCCCAAAATGATTTTTATTTCTGTAAAAGTTAAACTTGCACTAAATGCAGTTTTTTTTATTTTTTAACAATTTAGTATAGTCCCCAACTATTTAAAGAAAAGTTAAATACTAATTTGATCCCTCAATTTTTATATCTAAATTTATTTCATCCTTTAACTTCAAAAAGGACCCAAATCATCCTTCAAGTTTATTTTCCCATAACCAAATTGGTCCTTCCGTGACAGAAGTACCCACCTGGCACATTAAGTCTCCACAATTCAATTGTTTTAATTTTCAAATGCTTACATGGAAAAAACATAATATTTAATTGATGATATGGCAAAAATTACTAATTATAATACTATTAAAAAATGAAAATAAAAAAAAATCTTAGTTGACTCATTCTTAATAAATTTAAAAGATTAAACTAATTGATTGTTGTATTTAATACAACTAATTAAGGGAGCAATTAATTCATAATTATTTTTTTTTTAACATATTTGCAAGCGACGGGTTTCGAACCCAACCCGAAAGAGGGGGAAATGCACCGAGTGACTATTGCTACTAGACCGCAAGTGCCAGGTGCAATTCATAATTAATTTGGTTATTATAACCTCATAAAATATATTAAATTAATTGATTCATTGAACAAATTAGAAAAAAATTAAATTTTTTATTAGGTTTTTCATTTTCTCCGTCGAGAATCCCAAACTAGATTTCATCTTCATCTTCTTTGGTGAAAAACCCATATCATAATTTGGGTTTCTTGATCAAATCTAGCTAGCAAAAATCTCATCACCAAAAAGCAATAAGAACAACCCATAAAGTCAAAATCAAGAATCCATTTCAATACTCCAGATCCTAATACATGGACATGAGATAAAAACCCTAACATTTCCTCATACAAATGGGAAAAACTTGACTTGTCTACTGCGATTTCCAAAGGAGAAAAGGAAGGATTAGGTTGATCATCATTCACTGTTTTTGAAAACCCAAGTCTCTGAGTCTTTACTATGGCGACGACGATAGCGCGCGAGACAACCAAAGATCGACAATAAATGAGCTCCTCGTTTTGGAGACCTTATCAGATAAGTCAGTGGTGTATTTTGTGAGGGCCACTGCCAAATCCTCCTCCGAATCAAAGATGCTCACCTTCCTGCCTTCACTTTTCTCGGTTGCCATCCTTGTGTCTGCAATCATCGCCTTCGTTCTCCACCCATACCCCCTTGATTTCGTGTCGACAATAGAAGCCCTTTTGAAAACCGCCAAGCTTGCAAGGGTTTTCAACACTGCTGGCCTTAAGAACAATGAAGTGTAGTACAAAGTGCGATTGAATCTGGAAGAAGAAAGTAGAGTGCAAAGCGAGGTGGATAAATGGAGAAAGGAAAATGGATTTGGAGTATTGAAATGGATTCTTGATTTTGACTTTGTGGGTTGTAACTAAGCATTTAAAAATTAAAAGAACTAAATTGTGGAGACTTAACACGCCAGGTGGGCACTTCTGTCACAGAAAAACCAATTTGGTCATGGGAAAATAAACTTTAAGGATGATTGGGTCCTTTTTTAAGTTAAAAGATGAACTAAATTCAGAAATTAAAGTTGAGGGACCAAATTGGGTATTTAACCAAAAAAAAACTATTTTGTATTTTAGAAGTGCTTTTAGCTTTTTAAGAGTTGTTTAGATGGTTATTTTATATAAAATTATGATTATGCATTTTTAAGAAAACTTTATTTAAATAATACTTTTACAAAAATTATAGTTAAATCAATCAGGGTATTAATTACCGATCTTATACTGATCTTTGCTTTGAAATTTGAAGGTTTGGAGATTTGTACACTGAAGAAAATTTGGCGATTAGTGGTACACATATACATGCAGGGCCTGGAGGATACTCGCAGTATGTAGTGCACTCTGTTACTTCTTTGGGATTTGTCCAACAATCTTTTGATTGTATCAGAACTCTCTTCCTTCATCTTCATGAAAGTCAGGATTCGATTCCAAGTCCTTAGTACAGTCGTCTGGGTACTTTGCATACATTCAATTTAACAGTACTTATAAATTGCAGGTATCCAAATGAAGTGCTGAGCACAAAGATTATTGGGGAGAGGCAATTTCAGAAGGCTGTTGAACCATTTAGTTCTGCCACTAACCAATTGATGGGAAAATTTTATTATCGCCAGGTGTATCTGAACTTGAGTAACATCGAGGTCGAATTAGATGGGAACACCGTGGTCAAGACTTGTCCGGTAGCTCTAGGGGTTTTGCTGCCGGAACTACATATGGACCTGGGGTCTTTGGGTTTCAACAAGGTGATACAAAGGTCTGTATCTGATATTTTGAGCCATGGATTTCAAGATTTCCATCTGGGTTGGGATCAGTTTGGTTTATTGTTTGGAATTTGGATGCAGGGAAACTAATATAACATGCTTTCTGGCTTCTACAGTTTAATGAGTTCTGGAAAAAAAAGTGAGGGATTTGTTGAAGGAGCCAAGCCAGTATCAGGTGGGCTGCCAAAAACCCAAGGCAGTGTTGCTTGACACTGGAGAAATGTTTGAACCCTATGCTTGGGCGGTAAGAACTGGATAGACCCCTTGATTTCTAAAATTTCTAGATATGATGCTAAAATTTGCTGAACATGTTTATGCAGCCAGCTATACTTCCAATTCAAATATTTGAGATTGGGGAAGTTTATCATACTATCTGTACCAGGAGGTAGTTTTTCTTTTGTAGTAGTATTCTATTCTTCAATCACAAAATCACTTAATATTTCAGTTTCAAATATACATCATGTTGAAATTATTCATGTCAAGAAATGCAGAGTTCACAACAGTGGCTGGTCCGAGACTGAGGGAAGCAGTAAAAGACATATTGATAAGTAATGGAGTGGAGAATTCAATGATGTGACTCACGTGATAATAGCAGGGCTCACGAACACTTATTCCCAATGTGTTGCAACTTTTGAAGAGTATATATGTGCGGCAAAGATCCGAGGTATGAGACAACTGCAATTTAGAAGAAAAGGCAAATCTTTATTACATTATGATTTACCCTTTGTTTGGGTTGAGGGAAGGGCAGGGGAGGGGAGGGGAGGAGAAAGTTTTTTAACCAATTAAATTTTAAAAAAATGCCCATGATGCAAGAGATCAATTAAGATGTAAATATGCATCATATGGTTTTTTTGACATGCACTCATGCTTATATGCAATGAAATATGCAGGCTGCATCCACACTCTATGGTCCTCATACATTATCAGCTTATATCCAAGACTTGAAGAAACTGGCAGAAGCAATGCCTAAAGGAAAAATGATATTTAGGACACCAGACCTTTCCTCTGTCCAACTCAACCTCCTGCCTGACCCTCTGGTGACTCACAACCCCCCACCCCGTAGGCAAAAAGTTTGGTGAAATGAATCAAGATGTCACGCAACCAAAGGGTGGTTTCTTCAAGAAGGGAGATAAACCAAGTGCTACTTTTTGGACTGCTAACCCAAGATATGACCTATTGACAGAAGGCACTTTTGCAGTAGTAGAGATGCTTCAGGGGAACAGTGGATTCCAGCTTATTATGATGATGATTTCTCCTTGAAATTCAAGTTGAAGGTGGATGATGTTACTTTCTATGGCTTGGCAACCCTTGAATGGGAAGTGCTGGAGGAGGCTAGCCCTGTGGTCTATAGGTTCAGGCACTTTGGTTCATCTAAGAAAACAAAGGATTCTCCCAATAAGTACTTTACTGGTGCATCTAGTGCATTTACTGCATCATAGAGGCAATAAGTGTTGATCATATCTTGTTATAGTGCAAGACGAAGAGAAGATGTCAGATGTTTGCACTGAAATAAGGTTTCTGAATATATGCACGCACCAGTGAGTTATGATATACTGAACCCTAAACCTCTTATACATATATATATATATATATATTAATATTATTGTGATTAGGACATGTACATCTAGAAATAAGACTGTTCATAAGGCATACTCAGGATGATAAAGAAGGTACTTACTCATTTGTCCATCCAGATCACACATCGGATACACTTCCCTTCAATAAGTAAATTGAAGGCTTTATTGATGTCTTCAAACTTCACTTCATGAGTGACGAATTCATCCAGGTGCAGTTCCTGAAAAGATAGCATGTACAAAGACTTTCTTTTTAATCTCACCTCATGTTAATACAATGTATTAAGCTGTTATTTCAAAGAAGAAAAAAGAATAAAATGACAGACAAAGAGAAGAGGGGATATAAGATCAACTTTATAGGTGTGGACATGCAACTCGTAAGGTGTCCCATGCAATTGATGGACCTTACGAAACATCGTAAACCATAAAACAAGCCATGATGAAAGATCCTCATAAATGTGAGAGTAAACACAAGTAAATAATAAATAAATATTTTACCTTGTCTACATAGCGTTTCAGGAGAATTGGAATATCAGATTTAGCTTTGATTCCTCCAAATAGGGATCCTGTAATGGTTTTCCCAGTGTGGAGCACCTCAAAAGAACTGAAGTTCAATTGTGCTCCTGGTCTGTCCACTCCTAAAACAATCGTCTTTCCCCAACCCTGTATTTAACACTTGAAGGTTGGTATACATGTGATATATTTAAAAAAATGCACTAGAGGCCAGGCTGTATATGAGATCATTGGCAGAAGAGAAGAAATGAAGTATATACCATAATATAAAGTGTAAGACATTATGGAAGATTGTATTTTGGAAAGTTCATTATAACCTTACATTTTATGGTGCTCAAACTAAGCACACATTATGGGTTTCAAGATCATAGAAAGCGTGAGATATGTTGAAAGCCTGAAATAAATATATTTCCTGCACAACTTAATTCTCATGTAGTCATGTGAAACTCAAGGACAGACTGTCAAACTCAATTTTGAATGTATTCAATCAGTCACTTTCTTTTTTCTTTCCAACTCTAAAAGTCCAGTTCAAGATGCAAAGCTCTAGAATGTGTTGCTATGACTTAATACACAGAAAATATGCACATGATGTTGACAACAACATCTGGTATCCTTGTACAATAATTTGCAAAGGATGTGCTTTTGGAGCATGGTGTGAATGAATATGTCTATGCATGCGAAAGTATGAAATAAAGACCTTTCTGCAGGAAGCATAGGCTTCTTCCACTAAGGATGACAAACCGACACATTCAAAGCAGTAGTCTGCCCCCCCACCAGTCATCTCATTGATCACCTGTTCACAGTGAAAAAAAAAAAAAACAGCTGATAATTAGTGTTTCAAGATTCAATTGAAATATAGTTTAGCAATTCAATATGGAAAGTTAATCATGAATAGAGACAAATACCTGGCTCACAGATTTATCTCCACAGCTGCTTGAATCAACAAATTCTGTGACTCCAAATCTTTGTCCTGTGTGTGGATAAGAAAAG